ATGCAAGAAATGAACATTGTCCAGATCCTATCAAAGTGGAGGAACTTTGTTACAAATATTTAAAAAAGTTAAATGAGTTAATGCATGGAAAGGTGAAACTTAATTAAGATTAATTTAAAACGTGTCTTTGTAAGAAAATAGCATAGGTTTGTGCAGTTTAAGATAGCAGCTAATTAATCCCTGTCTGTAAATCAGTGACCAGCAGTGCTGGGAAACAGACTTGGTGTTGTTGCTTGCTCTGATAAAGACTGAACTATATATCTCATTTGGATAATACAGTAGAAACCAGAGCCATGATGCAAATGACTGAGTCCATGAGGAAGAGGTCACCCCTGACCTGCAGCTGCACGATAACCCTGACAAGAAGTGCTGACCTCTGTCCTGCTCCTCTTTTTAACTTCTCTCTGTTGTGTCTCAGACGTACACCATAATAAACCAGCACGCCTTTTCTTGTACGGCCCACTTCCTCCTCCACAGCCCCGCCTCACTGTTGCTCACTCTCTCTCCCTCTCCCTCTCTCTCTCTGACAGGACACTCTCGGGACAGGACAGAAGCCGGTCGGTACAGCAGCACTAGCAGCAGAGAGGATTTCATTTGATGAACACTGAAGGAAACAGAAACCTACGTACACAGACCATCACATGCTGAGATAACCACGGCAACAGCACAGTAAGTCTTTTTTTTTCTTTAGTTTTTAAATTACTTCTAGCTCTCATTGGCTTTCTTCCTTATTATTAGCATGTAGCATGTGGTCCCTGTGTGTGTCAGTCTGTTGATCAGCATTGATCCAGCACAGACTCCTTCCTGTTTATTTTGTTCTCTACACTTGTCCTGTCAACATGATTGAACCTTAAAAAAAAAGAAGGGGTTTTCTTTACTCTAAGACTTGCACACACACTCAAAAACTAGGGATAGTTTGTACTTCATCTGAACAACAGGGATGTATGTAATTCATGTTAGCAATGATTGTCGTTTTGGTATAAGTAACATAGCGATGTTTAAGGATGTTTATTTTCAACTGACTGCAGTATTTTACATCATCATAAATAAGATTACTGCCTCTTGAAAGGAAGTTTATTTCTTGCCATTGTAATTTATGCTAAAATGTTGCTAAAGTGCTCATGATGGATTAAGGCTGGGTTTTTGTAACATAACAATGATCAAGGTATTTTTACCTGCTCTTTTGTAAAGTGTCTCAAGATAACACTTGTTATAAATTGGTGCTATACAAATAAAGATTGATTGATTGATTGATTGATGGAAATTCTGTTTTTGAAGATTAGAGATTCAATTGTCAGAAATCTGAGTATAAGCTGTAAACGCTACTTTTACTCTTATGTATGTATATGCTGAGATGGTTTGTGGAAGACAATCTGTAAATGAAGTGTAACAAACCTGGTGTCAGTTTAGCTAAAAAGGTATGAGGAAATAGGTTCGACAATCCTTGCCAGTTTAAATTCGTAGCTGCAACGTTGTAGCATGAACGAGTGATTTGTTATGAACCAAAAATTTTTCACTTTAGACAGTCGCACCACTAACAGGATGATTAGCCTACGATGCTAGTCGAGTAAGTTTTGCACAAGACTAGATTTCTTGGTAGGAGGAAAAAATAATAGGCAAAGACAAGCTGGACAGCCATCCGACCCCTTATTAAATATTCATGAGGGATGAAATTTGCTTCAACCTTGTCTCTTTGTACATTTGAATGATCATTAGTGTGATTAGTGTGTCATTTGTCTTGTATCTGTTGCATATGTCAAAGTGAGGCGGATTCACCTTTTTAATGTCTCTCGTTTTAAGTTCCTGATCACAACACATGTGTATGATGAAGGTGCTCACAGGAGACTCTCACTGTTGAACACGATGACCTCATGCTATCACTGTTGGCATCATTACAACAGTTTTATTGTTTCTACCTGTGAATCTTTTTTTCCCACCTTTGATCCATGTTGAATTTAAAGTCACATGAAGAGTTTAAGAATCGAGGTATGAAGTTAAACCCTGTGTTTCAGAGTGTCTCACATACACTAAGCTGTTGAACAATCACAGCTGAGTTACAGTATAACACAGTTTAGTTACTGATATGTGTGGTTTGGTGACTCTACTGCTCCTGTCTGAAATAATCTGCAGTTTTGGCAACACAATAACCGTATAAATGGCCAAAGGACACATCTTTTACAATACTGATGGAAAATAACGTTTTTGATAATTATAACCTTGTATCTTCTGTATCTGTCAGTTTCTCTTTTTAAGGTCAGGGATCTTAGGTGTTAACTATAATAAACACAACGTTTATACAGTTCAGAGCGCAGGTGGAAACGCATACTCCCAACATCCAGGGAGTCTCCCCCCGCACAAAAGCGCTCACACGAGCATGCGCCACCCCAGTTCAAGGTTCACATCCAAAACATGTTTTACCGTAAATAATATAGCAGAGGCGAAAAACATTAGGTGAACTCTTATCTGTAACTCTGGAGTCTGACGAGATGTTTTTCCTGCTTGAATCTGAAAGATCTGCAGACAGTGTTTTAGTTGTAATATGGCTCTGATGATATCTTACAGCTCCGGGAGCAGATTTTAAGTACTGCATGCTGGGTGAAAACAGCAGAGATTGCCCTTTAGAGAGTGAGAGAGAGTGACTAACTGGCTGTTAGATTTTTGTGCCCACTTTCTGTCACAGTTTGCTGCTGTCCAGATTTAGCTCTTCCAGTTGTCAGGGTGACATTCTTGCTCACTTTAAGGTCCTCTGGACATCGGCCTCTTGTTTGGTTCCCATGCTCCTTTTCCTGTAGTGTTTCTATTTTTCTCTCCACGTTGTGTTGTGATACTAAGTTGTTTTTATTTTTTCTCTTTCTTCTCTTTTCTTTCCAGTACTGTAATCAGTAAGATTATAATGTAGACCCATTATCTGTCAAGTTTTCAGACAAACTTTCACTTGTTCCCATGAGGCTGTCAGGATACCAGGATGAAACTTTGATATGATACTAGTAAAAATCAAACAATATTAGACACCTCTGTTGTTACCAAGACAACACAATTAAAGTTTTAAGTAGTAGGCTATAAATATTCGGTAAGTTGTAAATACTGGTTTTTGAGTTACCAAAAAATGCAAGCAAACTCCTGAACACTGTCTAACAGCAGAAATAAATTGGCAGCATGCTGTACTGAAACGTTGCCAATTTATTTGAGCAATTTAACCAGTATCTCTGCTGTCCGTCTACTGCTCCCTGTCTGTTTTCCAGAGACATCATTTTTAACTTCTACATCTTAATGAGACTGCAAAAGGAATGTCAGTTTTTGCTGACTTGTCATTTTGAAAGGACCACCACTGATCTCACTCTTTTTCTCGCTGCAGCTTCTGTTTTCAATTATGAACGATGACCTAACCTGTAGGTTTTTCAAAACGTGGATACTTTTTTTAAGCTTTTTTTTTTTAGCTTTTCATGCCTTTATTTTGAGAGATATGATAGTGGATAGAGTCAGAAGTCGGGGAGAGAGTATCAGGGAATGACATGCAGGAAATGAGCCACAGGTCGGAATCGAACCCGGGCAGCCTGCTTGAGCCTCTGTACATGGGGCGCACACTAACCACTAGGCTACCGGCGCCCAAAAACTAATGGAGCTGGTATGGTTTTTGATAATCGGGGTCTTAAAGTATCCAACAGTTTGACAACCTTAAGTTCCTTTCAGGTTCCAAAACTTGTTTTTCTTTATATTTTTTTATAATTCTGAGATGTATATATGTTTGGATTTGGTATCCCCCTTTAGAAAATGAGAAGGGCATTTTCACTTTAATCTTTTATTCAGTTAGACGATAATCTATACTTATAAAAAGCATGACAGAATCGGCTCATCTTTTGCAGATTTACTCTTTCCTTTCACGTCCTCGTCAGTGCTGTAAAGCCTTGCTATAAGTGTTAATATTTGTTGTGTATCAGTCATTATATACCCCGTCTCTTCCATCATGTATGCTTTGTGTTTGCATCATGCTGCTGACTTGAGCCTGATACTCTAAAATGAAGACCCGTTTATAGTTTAACATTCTGGATACCGACATATCTGCGTTGTATCAAAGTGATCCATGGCCTTGATGAAGCAGATTGCACAACTTCTCCTTAAACCTGTGTATTGAATCACCTAATCTTCATTTTTAATACCCCGTCCGGCAGCTGTGTCCATAATCACCTTTATGACTGTTAACACATGAATGACTAATAAACTTGTCCTTTTATGGAAACTTGGTAAACCACACACGGGTTGAATGAATGGTTAACTAAACATCTCTCCTGATTGAACACTCTGGAGGAGTCTGGTGCTTAACAACTGAAATGTGTTTATACACATTACATAATGTCATTTATTGGATTACAACATGTGGGTTTCATTGCAGATTTAGTCTTGTGCAGCTGGTTAGTGTTGAAATAACGTTGTGGCTAAAAGGCAGCTTAATCTGCTCAAGGTTTTAAATGTATTTAGAGTGATAACGTAACACTGTAGACAAAGGGATGGTTAATAGTATTTGGCTGCGTAACGTCTGAGTAATGATCACTTATACAACTTGATATTTACTGAGTACAACCAAAGTTTGCAGCCCGACTTCAGAAAACTTAATGACATAGACACAGATAAATTCAGTGTATTTTGTTCTTAAATTTCTGCCACATTTGTTTGTATCAAAATAAAGGATGAATATGATTGATTGACTGTGTTGATGTCACAGATATTGTGACCTGTGAGCAGCAAAGAGCACATCGAATGCCACCACAGAGAGAGGACATTCATGTCTTGCTAAAACATCATAATTGAAGTTTGAATGGTCAATAAATGTCTTGTGATGCGTTTGTGTTGGCAGACCGCAGGTTGGTGAGGATTGTTTGGTGACATCATGATGTGCTCTGAATGTGACCTGATGCACGTTCTCTCTTAACACGGCCTCTTAACTCAGTCTGTAAAATTATATTACGACATATAATCATTACATGGCTGCACTTATCCACACCATGGGTACATTATCCCTCAGTGCTAAGTCGAGGCCTGTATGTCGTGTGCTGCAAACTGCAATTTAGCAAGTTTACCTGCACTCTATTTAAAGCTCTTCAAGCTAAGGCCTCACTCACTGTTACTGGAGGACTTACAGAACTTCTGGCATGTTTTTAAGAAGTTTGCACATTCAAAGGCGGGCTTATTTTCTATAAGGTTTAGTTAATGCTCAGTTAGAATAATAACTTTTAGGAATAGATGTAATCTGCTGATTAAGAGAAAGCTTTTTGTTGGCTGCTCTCAGAGGTTAAGATGGGAAAACAAAGAACGTGTTAATACTTCCTTCTTATTCCTTTAGACCCTCAAATTTATACAGTATAAGGACATGTGAGAATCTTTTTAGTTTGGTCCCGTGAACAAATAACCAAGGACAGGCTGAATGCCGGATATTAAAGGAAGAATGTGCAACATTTTAGAGATTAATATATCAGAAATCAATATCCTGTAAATGTCTCGAGCCATGACTGTCTCAATGAGTGAGAAGTGTGAGTCCCACCAGCTGTACTGTTGTCAGAGCCGTGTTTACATCATGTTTATATATAAAGCTGTGTTAGTCAAGGACTAGAGAAAAGAAGAATAACATACTCACCGCTTATTTGGATGTCACGTAAGTGTGTTTAGATCACTGTCATTCTGTGTCAATTTATGTGCAATATGAATCTACGAGTTAACCAAAGTGTGCTAACATTAGCCTGCTAACACAAAAATGCAGAACACAGGCAATTGCAGCTCGAGCAAAGGACAATTTTCTCCACCGCTTGTGCTTAATGGTGTTTTTATGGTGCGTTCTAATTGATCACTCCTTCATGTAGATAATGTGGGTTTATGAACTTCTGACAGTTGTTTCTGGTTATCTGAAGAATGAGCTGTAGCCCCTTCAGTTAAAGTCACAGAGGAAGAGAAAAGCAAAGTTTCCTTTGGGCTAGCTTGCAGAATGGTACTCACTCATTCTGCTATCCTCCCTCCCCCTCCTCCCTGTGTGTCCTTTCCCTCCTGTGTGCCTCTGCTCATGTACACACCCTCCTGCAAGGGCATTGTTTACTCAGAGTACCAACGTAGAGCTTTTCAATCACCCTTCACTGTACCTCCATTCAGCTGAGCTCAGGTCCAGTCCAGACTCCAAGGTCAAAGTCCGGTTTTCATTTCAGACGTGACTTTGAGCAAGTATCACGGCGGCTCACCCGCCTCTTCTACTGCAGTTCATGTGACTAGTTTTGTTATTATTTTATTAGATTAAAGTCTCACAGATTGTGGTATCTGTACACTCTCAAAAACCCCTGTTGGCATTGTAAGTCTGCTTTGGGCTGCTACTCTGTTACTGTTTGTGAACGTGGAGGCTAATCTCCTCTGCAGCTCCATTATGCTCTGTATGAATGATGCTCTTGCAGAGTTCTCAGCTGACAGTTCCCCCCCCCCCCTCTGGCTTCCTGCCTGGCACAGTAAAAAGATTAGAACAGAAACGAGGGAGAGAGGGCTAATAACCATGTCCCCCAGTGTCACCCCTAAGTGGCTGACAGGGTCTCGCTTGGCTGCATGCTTAACAAACCAGCAATGTGTTTCACTCACTGCTAAATTAGAACTGACACAGTGCTAATGTGAAAAAGCTTGGAAATGCTTTTTTTCCTCTTCATGAGTGCACAACTAGTTTTTTTTCAAGTAAAATTATGTTTTTTTTTTGTTTTTTTTTTACCTCAAAATGAATCTTTAAGTGAAGGTTTGGTTGTTGTATGGTACGTGACAACATCACCCTCCTGATTACACACACGCATATCAGTGTCAGAAAAGGTTGCTCGGATGGGAGGTGAATGTTAAAGCTGAAGTGTGTGCAGCTGGTGGGTCTCCTCAGACATCTTTAAGAGAGAGAGAGGATTGATGGGAAAATGTTGGCTATGACCCAAAACACTCAGCTGATTGGATGGAGTGCAGAGGAAAGAAGGGGAAGAGACAAACAAGATGTATAAAGACTAATTGAGTGCTTCTGTTGGTGATGTCTGATGCTGGTGCTTTGGTTAAATCAGGTTGGTGTGTTATGATGTGTACACTACTATGTGTGCATGTGAAAGTCCTGTTTTTACCACGATAGATGAGCATCTGTTGCTTTAATTGGGCCTAACCCTTTGCCCTTCAGCCAGCATGTTGTATTGACTGCAATAACTGGGTCGAGGTATCAAGTGTCCTTTTGTTACCGGTCTGAATAAAGCATGGCGCCTGTGCCATGAACACATCTTTTTATATATGACTCATAGGTTATGTACTGTAGGAGCTCTTTATTTGTTCTTAGTATTCAGTTGTGTAGTTAACTAATATGAAATGGTATGTTGGATTATTCTAGACTATTTTCTTTATTTACATTAGATCCTTGAATTTTTAGTTTTTTTAATTAACTATATTTAGTTTTTGGATATTCACTTTTTTTTCTTCTTTTTCTTTATTTACCAGAGCAAGAGAAGCAGCAGTCCTGGTTTTCTTTGTTCTTCTTTTGTATGCTTGCTTGCTTTTTGTAAAAATAAACCATCAGTAAGGTAGACCTTTTGCATGGACAATGGACTTCTTTTAACCATGTACACCACATCCCCATGGTGCATCAGTGGCCATTTTATTATGTTTTGATTTAAAACTGATTTAGCTTTCGTACAAATAGCCACTACATGCTAAATGAGTAGAGTGTTTCCTAAACATGTATAGACGTCACTGCACTACTCTACAGACACTGTTGGTTTCTAACTTTGAGTTTCAGATGTACACAGCCACCAGCTGATACCTGCATGATAAATACCAACACAGTGAGAGGAAAAGTTAAAGCAGCGTTTGAAACAAAGTAACCACACAGAGTGAAATATTAGCGCTCTACGACCCATGTCTTCTGTGTGAAAGTCATAGACTGTGTTGAAAGTCTGAGAGAAGCTTTGGTAAAAATATATTTTAAAGACTGAGTTGTTTTTCGTCTTTGTAGAGCAGATCTCCATGGTGACTACATGCATTGCTTTAATGCCACCGCCTTCTCACTGAGGCTGCACAGGGGTTCAGAACATGCAGTACATTTATTTTACACTTTACTGTTGATTATTTTGCATCAATCCACGGATCACATGCAGCCTGAACAGTGGGGGGTTAGCGAACCGATCATGGATCAACTGTGATCTGTTGCATCACTACAAGTGAGTGTCTAGACATGCTTAGATTTTAACTCTCACAACACATAAGGACAGTATTGGTTGATATGTAAAGCAGGTTGCATACTCTGAATGTATTTACTGTTGGATCATGTCAGAGACAGAACTATGATACAGATTATTGAAACTTGACGGATATTTTGAACCATTCTCCCTAGCTCTACTGGCCTGTGTGTAATTCTTAATGCATGTGCTGCCTCATGCTGTGTGTGTTTATGGGAGTGTTGCAGCTATGCTGAGCAACCTGATCTGTGTGTAGCTTCTGGCTGTGGAAACTTAATCTTTGTGACCCTGAAGGATGGGCTGCTGGAGGCCCGGCCCGTCTTTGTTTGATCAAACAGAAGGTTTCTAATGAAACAGTTCAGATATTTTGAAAATAAAACAGTCTCAGTCACTATAGAAAATGTAGCTTTGTTTTGAGTGACTTTGGATTCAACATATAATTTTAATGCGAGTATATTTTGTGGAAAAAATGCCCTCAAATATCAAATAAGAAGATCAAAATACAGATCTGCAATAAAAGTCATGAGAAATCCTTTTGAAAAACACCAGAGACTTTCTTTGCTATATACCTTATGTGATATCACAGATGAAAGAGTCTTGGAAAAAAAGAATTTTTCCTGCTTTACAAATCAAATTAAACCTTATTTGATAGTTTTCGCTCCTCTGTTTTCAAACTATTATGGGTTTAATGTATTTCAAATTAGCAATATTCAGCTAAATAAGTCAGGATGATACTGTCATGTGTCAAAGACATCACTGTACAAAGTATATTTGATATTCTAATGTCCTCTTTTCTTCCCTCTCTTCCTCTTTGTGTTTTCCTTTCTCTACTCATCAGCTACCTGGCCCCTCAGAGCCCGATGCCCTGGAAGCCTGTGTTGTCTCCCTGAGCCACCAGGGGGCCTCAGTCCCTCTCAGGGACAGTCAGCTCTGAGTTTGTCTTCACCCTGAACCCTCCAGCTCCTGTCAAGCTGTCCCACCCTGCCTCCTCTCCCTCTTCCACTTTTGCTGTTGCTCCCCATTCTCCTCCCTCCTGGCCCCCAAAGACACACCTGGACTCCCAGTCAGCCTTCTCCCTCCATGAGGGGCAGGGGGAGGTGCAGGGGGCCTTGGATGCGGCCCCACAGCCTCTTCATTTGGCTTTACCTGGGGACCTCAGGGACCTGAGACAGCAACACTACCATGATGCATCAACATTAACAGGTAAGTGTTGAATAAGGCATTCAATCATCTTTTGAAATAGATTTATTAATTAAGATTCAGTAGACAAATAAAACCACTATAACAAAACAATCTGCAAATTATAATTGATTAAATATAGTTTAATTTATATATAACCCTAACCATAAGAATAATGGATGTATTCCAATGTGTTAAATTAGCGTTTTATCAGTAAAAGAATAATGTAGGTTCACAGATTTATCACTAGAGGGCAGTGTGTCATGTAACTGACATGTCAGTGTAGATGGGTTTATTACATTGCAGCTTCCTTTCTCCTTTTTCTTTGTCGTTCTTCATACATTAACCCCTACACTCATAAATAACTACAGTTGTTTCCCACACTCAGACCTTTGCTCAGACCTGCCGGAGCTTGAGATAGTGAGCCTCCTATCAGAGGGTCAGCCCAACTACACTCTGCGAGCAGACAGCGTGTTTGGATACGACAATGACGACTGGCTGCACACTCCTCTGCTGGGACCAGAGGTCGTTCTGGGACTCACACACGAGCAGATTGAGGAGACCTTCAAGTACTTCTGTGAGTGCAGTTTTTTTTTTACGCAGAGGCATACAGTAATGGGATTAGGAGGCATCATTTAATTTAAGCCCCACTTTGTGTCCACAAACGACCTTTAACCCTTAATTTAGACTTTAGTTTGGGTATTTAAGATGCTGTGTTTTCATATAATGGATTGAGCTGCATGAGTATTTTACAAGTGATCAGAAATCCAATTAGCTAAACACTGATAAAATTTAGTTTTTTATCTCTGTCAATTACCGTATGTCCTGACGAAGAATCAATAGAGTCGAAACGCGTAGACAGATCCCTGTTTAATAAAGTTTTATACGACATCAGAGTGCCTCAGACTTTCAGTTTGGACTGCCTTTCTACACCTCAAACTTTGTTTGTCATCAGGACAGTCAACTTTTGTATTAGCTATTTGACTTTTGTCCCCATTTCTTGAAGAGCACCTGATTCCTCTACATTTTTTGACCCAGTTCAGCACTCACTTCTACCTTTTTTTTAGGCCTATACACGTCGGTGACCACAGCCTGTACTTAACAAGTTGTAATAAAAATAGTAATATTATAATCATCATAATCAACTAAAAATTCAGTGAAAAGATTGATCCAGTTTTAGATGAGTAATGACTGCTTTGATTTCCAGTGTAGTAGTTCTGTTTTCTTGGCGACAGTTAGAGGTATGAGTAGCAGCAGGTTTCTGTATTGTGTTGGAATATCTGTTTGGGTAATCTCTGAGCAGACGGAGTGATGGGGATCGAGGAACTCTGCAACCTAAAATACCTGAAAGTTTGTTTGTGATGGCTATCCAGAAATTGTGAAGAGGTTGACATGCCTGTCCAGGTTGCATAAAATTGCATTGTGAACAGATGTCAGTGTCCGTTAAGCCCATTTGTACCATTATGTTTTGCAGTGATGTGGTGAATGGTTTTATATTTTATATTCTTAACGCAATGAATGCAAAGAGTTTTTTTTTCGGTTTACCATGAATTGGATTACAGCGACTTCGTTCTGACAAATACTTGAACACATTTGAAAGGACAAATGAGTGAAACTATTATTATACCTAGGTGGACTGGACATACAGAGGACACCTATAACGAGTGTTCATTTGAAATGAGCAGAATAAATAGGATCCTGTGCAAATAGGGAAGAGCTTCTGAAGTGTGTCTTTGTCTCTAAAGGTTTAAGTGAATTTGATAACTATGGACACCAAACTCTTTCTCTTTCTTTATTGTTTTTCAATGATTTTCTGATTTACATATATTTTATTTCCAACCAGTGAATTACAGGAAAAATATCCCTGACGTACCAATTATTATTTTGAAAGACTAAGTGATTTCTTACTTATTTCATAAATGTATCAATAAATTTATGAAATGATCGCTAGCAATCAATCAATCTTTATTTGAATAGCGCCAATTCACAAAAAGTGTTATCTTTTTATTAATTGTCCTTTAAATGAAATTTAAATGACCCCAGGTCTGTGTTTATTTTGACACAAGAATTTGATGCCGAATCTCCTGCCCCGTCTCCTAAACCCTCTGCTACATTTTAGGCACAGATGTCAAATGTCACAAAGCCGATTAACCTGCTGTCACTTGGCTTCATAAACAGTTTCCGCTGGAGTGCTGCAGAGGAAGTACCTCACTGACCAATCTGACATAAAAAAGAGTAACCCAGAAGCCGTTTATTATTAATCACACAGCTTGTCTAGACTTGGAGGTTGATAGGTTGTCAACTACTTCAAGACTTTGGTTCTGTTGTTGTGTGCTTTCAGCATTGTTATGGAAACTGAGAACACTTTGATCAGAGGAGGTGATGAGCAACTCTTAGAGATTCTCTCCACTTTGCAATACAACATGATACTTTTTAAAGACACCGCCTAACTTCAGAAAATTTGTCCTCCAGAGGAAGTATCAGTGCTTCATGAACCTTTATCTCACAGCTGTGCAATTAACATGTTTATCTCCCTCATTATGAGCAGTTTACTTAATTCACCCTACCACAAGATTATACACGCCTCTATTTTAAAGATTCATTTTGGTGCTTTTATGCCTTTAATTCGAGAGGACAGTGGATAGAGTAGGAAATCATGGACATGTTGGAAAGGAGCCGCAGGTTGGACTTGAACCCTGGCTGCCCCCGTGGAGGACTAAAGCCTCTGTACTTGGGGTGTGACCTTGCTGCTTGGCAACCAGCCCCCTATCTACAATCTTTTTGAGTACCACGTGTTGAAACACTGAACCAGAACAAAATAATAAGGACCTCTATGCAGGTGAATCAAATAATACAGATAATTGTAATATTCCCATCTCTGTGAATAGTTGTGACGTTGTGTAAAATGTGAATAAAAACATAATGTGACGATTTACAAAACATTAAAATCATGTCAAATGTTTAAAGTTAGAATTTTTGTTGTTTTTTAAAAACTAATATGCCCATTTTTAATTTTATGCCAACAACATGTTACAAAAAAGTAACAACACTCCCAGCATGTTGGGAACTGAGAAGAGTATTTCCAGTCATTTTAAAAAGTGGAATATTTAAACATCTTCCTTAATGTGGGATTTCAGCTGCTCAACACTTCAGGGTTTAATTTGTCTTAAAATAATAAGCCAAACGTTTTCAATGGGTGACAAGTTGGGACTGAAGGAAGGCCAGTTTATCATAGACTGTAAATAAAACATGGACGAAGCCTGAGTGACATCAGATATAATGAAGGTGGCTTGAGCCTTCTGACCCACCTGTCAGTCTGTTCAGCTACGTGCCTTATTATGAATAACTCACAAAAACAATCACCCCCGTACAGTGTGTACTGATAAAGACATGAGTTTACTGGACAAGGCTTATTTCTGCTTTAAAACAGGCTTTTCTAATGGGTGTCCAGGGCCAGGACAGGTCAGGTTGCTGCTATTTTATCACCCGGACTCTTTTACTACGGAGCCGTGCTGTTATATTAACTGAATGATTACAGCCATCCAATCTGGTCTTTTGGCATTGACCCTGCAGAGAGATTTCTTCAGTTTCTCTGAATCTTAAATGATATTAAATACTGTAGATGATGAAATCCCAACATTTTTTTTTACAATTTTACAACAAGAAACATTATTTCTTTAGTGTTGCATTGTTTGCCTTCACAGTCTTGTCCAGTCTTTTCCAATCGGGCATCTAACTTTACAAAAAACAAAGACATTTCTCGGTCTCAATATTAGACATGTTGTCTTCGTGTTATTTTAATCATATTTGTGTTTCAGTGAGTTTCAAATCATCTTATTCACATTTTATTCACATTTTACACTGCGTCCCAACTTCTTTGGAAACAGGGTTTGTAAACAGTCTCTCTTGGGGAAGGTCTGTTGATCTAAACTTTATCAACCAAACTTCTCATGTAGAGAAGTGCCTCATCGTGCCATGTAGACTTTACTCGCCTGATGCCAAGGCACGTGTTCCTTTCAGAATCAGGTCAGTCTGACCTCCTGGTTCACACAGACTGTGCCAGGCTGTACCAGACTAAAGTGTCAGTCTGTGTGGCAGGTGGCATATGGAGCCGTTTGTTTTTAGTGTTCTTAACTCTTGCTCACTGCTTGTTTTTTCTGCTCCATCTGTTTGTGTTTTGTCTTGGTGTGTTTACAGCTCCTCGCTGTGTCCTCAAACGCCCACACATACTACTAAAACCAATTAAAGTGACACCTCCCATCTTCATGGGACATTTAATTTAGAATGTTTTTTAATGTTTGCCTGACACTATGTGATTTTACAACTCTTATTACTGTTTCTATGGTTACTCACTTGCAGATTTGTTTGTGAAAAAATGACAGTTGTTTTCTATAAATAATAAGTTAAAGACAAGAAGTGTTTTGTAAATTGCAGTGAAACAATTTTACAACCAAATATATACAATGAATAAAGTTTAATTTATATTTAATGGAACCTCCTGAAGTACGAGGAAACATTTAAGAACATTTTTAAAAGTTTTTAAAAAATTAACCAAATAACCAAATATTTCATATAAAGTAAATGGCTTCATGGGAAATTCCCACAAATCAACTCAGGTATGCAGTCTGTCTCAAATGGTAAATAGTAAATGGACTTGAGCTTGAATAGTGCTTTTCTAGTCTTCTGACACTGCCGGTCACACTGATGGCAGAGGCCGCTGTATAAAGTGACCATCAGTATTAACTAATCCCATGCATACACATTCACACGCTGCTGGGGTCGAGTGTCACTCTTGCCCAGGGACACATCAGACATGTGGCTGGAGGAGCTAGACCCCCTAACCCTAAACCCACGACCTTCCATTCCACCCCAATGGACACCAAACTATTTCTCTTTCTTGTTTTTCTATGTTATTCTGATTGACATACAGTATATTTTATAGAAAAATCCCTCTGACTGAACCACAGCCGTCCCTAAGGTCTAAGCTGAAGCTCAGGGGGACCGAGCCTTATCAGTGACAGCTCTAAAGCTCTGCCTGCACATGTTTGGCTGTCCCTCACTGCCTTAAAAAAAACATCAAACACTCATGCACACTTCTTTTCATTGGCTTTTGGCTCGGCATAAGAGTTGCCTTTTTTAACCCCTTTTTCCTCCCCTATTGGTTTTTACGGTTATTAGTATCTGATGTGTTGTTGTTTTCAATTGGTCTTAGCGTTTTATTGTGTTGTTTTATGTTTTTATGTGTGGTTGAACAGCTCTTTGGTCAGCTTTAGGTGTTTTTAAATGTGCTTTTGTATAAATCTGGATTGATTTGGGTAAGGCTCACTTGTTTGGTTGAATTATAAACAACGTCTGCAGCACGGGTGGTGCTGAGCATATTTTTCTTGAATAAATTACAATGTTTAATGTAAAATAGCAAATACTTGCACAGTATGTCTGTGTATCTGTAGGTGCTTGAGGGCAAAAAGTATGAGAAAGGATGTTTCAAAGTGCTTCACATCTCAGTTTGCTGAGAATTTTGTTGGTTATGTGGGGCTTCTTGTCAAGACTTTATTCAAACAGAATTTTATTGCCTTCCCTTTGTTAAATATATGTTGTATTGTATTGACTACATTTAGATCATTCAGAAGATATGATGGTTGAGACGGTTAAATCGAAGCAACCACAGGAGTGTAACTTTTATGACTGGGAGGTGACTCAAACACAGAGCACTTGTCTTGTTTTTGCTTGTTACAGTGGGCAAAGTACTCTGAACATTACTTCCTTCAGTGTTTCCCCTAGGTTTACAGCGTTGGGGGGGGTGGGGACATGCCGACACAACGACACAAACACTTGAAGGAATCTTGGTGTTCATGTGTTACTTTTAAAGACAGATGTCCTTTTCTATCAGAAAGGTATCCTTAAATGACTTATTTCCCTGATTTCCGACTCTATACACTATCCTATCCCTACAATAAAGGCACAAAAAGAAAAAAAAAAAAAAAAATATATATATTATTATTATTATTTTTTTTACTTGACCTTTAGGGGGGGTGAGCCGCTGTTACCGCGATTACCGCTGTTCCTTTTAAACTATAGTGTATACGTTATGTTGGCATAATACTTCCCTGTTAACATTATATGAGTGAACCATCTCTCTGAATAAGTGATTCCAACTTATTCAGTATGATTCCTCCAGCACAAAAAAAACAATAATTCTGATCCTGCAGGGACTTACAAATGCTCACAGAGCCAGAGCATGCCAGTAAATGAGATACAACAGTTTGTGAAAGCTGCATCTCCGCTGTCTCTTGCGTGCAGCTTTTGACCTGGAAAGAGTCTGTTTGTGTGTGAAACATTAATGAGGAGGTGAATATTTGATTGTAAGAAAACTACTGTGTCTAAGTAGCAACTGGGAGGACGAGAGACGGACAGAGACAGAGTGAACATGATGAGCGGGTGCTGAACGACTCTGAAGCATCACAGCACTGTGCAGTTTAAAAAACATCATGAATTCCTTTGTTTTGATTTGTTCTTTTAAAATGAAATGAGACAAGATGAAAAAAAAATGTTTCTCTGCTCATCTAGGGAAACAGAATATTAAAATGATTTCCTAAAATGAACACCAATTATTTTGGATAAAAATAAAAATAACCAATTAGAATCATCTTCTATTCTAACACAAACAATAATTTTGTAAAGGGAAAAAATGCAAAAAAAGATGCAAATGAGATTTTTTTTTTCTTGTGTTCCCTATTAATAATTTCATTTAAGACATTTAAGTCATAAAATGTAATCTTTTTTAAATGCCTCTATCAGACCCTTTAGAGTGGGAGTGGCTGTGCCTGCAGCAGTATTACGCAGAGCCCTCTCTACGTCTGGTGTTACGTATATGCACTGAATAAGATCTGCCATTGGCATGGGTGGACCCTACCATCTCCCTCAGATCCACAGGGGTGGGTGGTCTTAATGCAGCATCCTTTTAGACGGCCCCAGCTTTCCCATTCTGAATAATTTAATCCATTTTAGCCACATGGTGCTCATTCTTTTGTGAATGGACAAGGTCAGGGTGAGCACTGTCAGCGTTTCTGGCTTTTGGTTTAGATTTTTCTTCCTCCTCACCCCTCCTCCTCTTCCTCCCCTCTTTCCTTACCCGGTAGTCCAACGTGGCCAGGTGCACGGAGGCAGGCATGACGACAGATGGCCCGTACAGTCTGAGGGATTATACATTAACACAGAGGAGCTCAGATTCTCTTGCACACACAAACACAGGTGTTTACACACACTCAGTCGGGCTGGTGGATAACGGTTTCTCCCATCACACCCGCCAGCAGAATGATGCTGAAGACACAACCGGTGTGCCTCAGCACAAAAACGACGCAGTAGAGTCAGAAGAACGAGGGATTTAACAGATTGACGAAGAGACAGAGGGCAGTTTTTTTCTTCGGTCACCATGGAGGTGTGGAGCTCCTCTGCCTCCGAGGAGGAGGAGGAAGAGAAGATCACTCCCGGTCTTGTGGAAGAAGTAGTGGAGGGAGAAGAGAAGTGCCAAAACAGCAATAACAATAACAACAATAACAACAACAAAGGCAACCTTTGCCAGGAGGTGACGCAAGGTGAGATAAGAAACAGCGTGATGAGAAACAGTTTGAGGAAAGGTGCAAGGGTCTGATCAGTGACCTGCAGAGCTGACGTTCTGCAGAAAGAAATAGAGAGAATCCTAAAGTGTCATCTTGTGATTACGATTCACTGCATGTCAAATATTACTGGTTGGTGTATTTTGCACTGCTTTGCATTGTCATGGTTTCTGTTATCTAAGTGCTTAAATACTTTATAGTGTACAGTGTGTACTGCAGGCTGCAGTGATGTCACTGAAGGTGCATCACGCAAATGATGAAACCATTCATCCAAATGTACGATGTCACTGCTCTTGTCATGAGACATCTTTAGTTGAAGATAAAAGTGACTTGAGATTTGTATAAATTTGTGAATCTATTCAGCCTGAATGTTTCCTCTCAGTCTGGTGAAGGTCACGGACACACTGTGTGTGTGTGCGTGTCTGTGTGTGTGTGTTTGCTGCACCAGCATATTCACGCTTTGTGTACATGTAAGCAGTTTTCAAAGGTAGTTTTGTGAAATATCTCTTTAACTGTTGTTAAATACATTAGATACAGGTCAGGTTATATGTTGAAGAAAAATAATTATATAGCTACCCTGTGAAGTGTCTTGAATATCTTCCACCCTGACAGACTTTGACTCTCAGAGGAGAAGAGAGCTTTTGTAATTGGAGAGAATCAAATTAGTCCAATGAGATTGGAAGAATGACCTCTTCCTAACAATTGATTGCTGTTAAGTCTTCTCAAACCTTTGACAATATGGTGTGTGGTTCACGAGGACAATGTCTGCAGGTGCAATACCTGTGCTGCTGCCCTAGTTTCAGTCCAGTGCTGTCTGCTGTTCTTGCTCATCACATAAGACATTGACATACTCAGATACATTTGTATTTATTAAAAAGTGTATCATTTATAATTGATCATTTGAGGAGGGTCGAGCTGGCGTGTAGTGATACAGATTTTATCTTTATTTTCTCACAGTTTTTAAAGTTGGTGTTAGTTTTTTTTTAAATGACAAACATGTTTGAAATCTAACATGAATCTCTTTTAACAGAGCTCTTAATGTGGGCAGGGATCCTCTCCTCTTCCTCCTCTGTAAGGAGTGTTCTTTGTCTGAGCGGGCATGTGGCTGGGAACTGCACGAATACTGCGACACAGGCACCCCTCCAAAAAAAAAACCAGGACACTCTGGACAAATTCAAGCCTCTTTGTTATGCAATCGGTCAAATGAATCCTACGATATGCACTTGTAGATATTAAGCCGTTTTTTGTTGTCATATTGTCGAGTTTGTATTGTATTGATATCTTCATTGCTGATATGAGATAACGGACATCAGACATAAAAGTGAACCTACGTCAGCAAGGTCATAGGTGCAGCATTAGGCTAGCAGTTTAGGGTAACCTGCTGGATTAAGGCTCAGCAAAAAAACCCTAAAAGCTCGAGCTGGCAGCACGGCGTCTCCTCCTCTGATCTGTTGTACGTCTCGGCTGGCAGGTCAGGAGGAAATAGATCAGAGTTCTTCGCCAGGGGAGACTTTATCGATGCACACTTTAAGTGCTAGCTGAAAGATCCATTTATCAGAGTTGAAATAAGCCATCCAGTGGGGATGTTGAAATGAATCGTCTCTACGATGCGTCGTGATGTAGACATGGACGATTTTGGATCGCAGTGACAAAACATAATCGATTATTTCACTTTTTAAACATTTTTATAATTATTTTACCATGTAAAGACATTTATGTTGACGTTGAATTCGAAAGCACTTTCTAAATAAAAAAAAAAGGAGTTCATATTAATCTGACTGATGGTCTTCATTGATGTAAAAGTAGCCATGTGCAGTCATTTGGAAAATTGATGATGCAACCTGTCCTGATATCGAAGCGAACACCAAACACATCTGATAAAACATGACGCTTAATGAAGCGTTACAGCATTTACTTATTTGAAGTAATGACCAGCAGTAGGACACTGGGGCAGACTGAAGTGAATCAGTATATTATTCTGTGTGTGAACAGGTTGGTGTCTGAAAGCTGCTGACTGCAGTCCTGCAGCTGACTTTGTTTTTAATAGAGATTCAATCCACTTACTGAGTATAATAGGCTTTAAGGACGATGAACTATTATCTGATTAACCTTTGTTAATTTATTAATAGAACTTAATTTCCTTAAACCATTAACCATTCAGTGCTCAGGAAGAATCCCACGCACATTGTTATAATCATTATTATTAAGGCAGGGTTTATAGTCTACTAACACGATTGTTTGGTGTTCATTAAGTCAGCGTTGACATCCAGATAGAAAGATTATATTTTTCAGACTGAGACATGGTGACCCTCTTCTGGATCAGGATGTCTATTACACTCCTAAAGACACTTTTTTAAATAGTGTAATTAACAAAAATGCTTTTTACTTTAAGTTCAATGTTGGTCCTAAAATAAAACATGTATTTGACATGGAACCTTGTTTGGTAGCTTTTGATCACATTACAGATCTTTGTCAGCAGATGGCGGAGTTGTTGCACAGATATTTATTTTATGCTGGCTTTAAAGTAAATATAAAGGAATGAGAGCTGATCAGACTGTCACAATCAAAATTTGATAAAAGACTACATTCATGACTCGCAGTCAGGAAGACGTCTGGCCAGTGGTGAAATAACATCCCTTGTTTTGGGATTCTCTGGTATAGTTGATTTTCTTTGCTGCCATGTTTGAGAGAAACTCAAGATCCTGACAGCAGACCTTTAGACTCGGGTTGCACTTTGACTCCCTCTGACTTTTGCCTTGTAAGGCTTTGTGGTGATTTGTGACAGGGGTTTAAATGCTTTCACTATCCTGCTTCTTTTTTTCTGCATTCCTCTTAATTCTAATCAGCTAAATTATGTCATGGTCAGCTGCAGCACACTTTATCTGCAATAGACCCGGGCAACAGACCAAGGTTAGATTCTTTCCATTAGATTGATTAAACACTGAGACAGCTATCCAACCACACTGTTTCCAGGCCAAATCCAAGGAAACTTGATCTGATTACTTCGCTGTATGGCAACCTCCCATCTCTTTAGGCCAGCTAAGCTTTCTGCCAAAGACTATATGAATCATTGTTTTAGAGTAATGTGGTGTCATTAAGATGAACTGATGGCTAATTCATGATAATCGTCTAAGCTGTAGAATTATGGTCTGCATCTTGAGTCACTGAGTTCTGCTTCAAATGTCTAAAACCCGTCCTCTTTGCTAGATGGTGACAACCTTTAAAACTATTATACCAACACTAATATATTGTGTTCCTTTTTGCTAAACATACAGCTTCAAAGTGTCTTCGACCGCCTCTGGATCCGTCTCAACTGAACAATGATTTCTTGAACTTCCACTTCCGTGCGTTTGAAGTGGATGCAAAACAAACGGATTTGAACCAAGCTGCAGGTCAATAGTCAGTCACTGTGTTCCTGTCCACGTTGTACATGTCCTGCCTGTATGGACACTGCCAGATAAGCCCTGGCTGTGTCACAGGTTGAGCTATATTGGTATCCCGGAGAACCAGGTCTTTATTTGCGTCTTATCTGGGCTAGAAAGGATCAGGCTAAGAGGATCAGTGTGGGGCAGTGACCACATGGAGATGTTGTGGTCTGCATCTGTGGAGTCTTAAAAAGAAACAAAACCTACTCAAGGCATTCATTCATACAGACAACGCTGATTCACTGTAACTCTGTTTTGTTACAAGTTCATGTTACAAGTGTTTAATAATTGTGAGACAAGAGGGTATTTTTCTTTCATTGTATACATCAATGAGCACCCCCCCCCCCACACACACACACAAAATACTTTGTTTTTAAAAATCAACATACTAAGTTTTCTTTGATACAACGGCGGCTGTAGCTGAGTAGCTCCTGAAGCTACATGTCCGATGTGTCCTTGGGCAAGACACTTGACCCCAATTTGCTCCTGCTGCTTTGTCAGTAGCGTATGAATGTGTATGAATGGAATGAGTTGGTTGGACCCTTTACATAGCAGCCTCTGTCATCAGTGTGTGAATGTGTAGGTGTGACCTGTGGTGTAAAAGCGCTTTGAGTAGTCAGAAGACTAGAAAATAACGAAACTAGCTCAAGTCCATTTACCAGAATAGTCTGGCACATACAGAAAGACCTTTGTATAAACTATCCAGTTATTGTTATCATGATTAGAGTTAAAACCTCAGAGCAGACAAAGCCTTCATCTCCCATGAGATCTTGTGGCAACCCCCTGCCGCTGGAGGGTTCAGACCCCATGTTGGGAACCAATGACTTACATGATACTTAAATACTTTCAACAGAATTATTTTTTTTTTTTTCAGAAATATCACTTGCCATTCTAAAATGAATTTTGTTATCTTTCATAGCTGTTCCTCCTCTAAGTGAGAAAAGGACGGGCTTCTCTTGAGATCTGTTGTAACCATGTTTTGTTCAGCAGCTGATTGAAAAATAGAAAAAGAGGAGATCAGTCAAAATCTAAGAAGCGTCCCCATTGGCTCATCTTTATTACTTATTTGTCATTATAAAAACTCTCAACAGAATGCATGTCCTCTTTGTGTGATCTGTTTCCTGCTCCATTCATTAAATCCCTCTCTCCCTCCTCCCTCAGTGCTGTGCTCAGACAGGGTGGGCCAGGTCACCAAGACGTATCATGACATCAAGGCGGTCACCCACCTACTGGAGGAGGTAAGAGAGAGACAAAGTAGAGCATAGGGATTATAGAAGATTATGATCATCTGCCTCACTGACCACCATGTTTGCTGACCTTTTCTGCACTTTTGTTTCTGTCTGTGTTGTCAGATGAAAACTAATAAGATGTGGTTAAATCTAAACTACAACTCTATGTATCGTCACCTAGGCAGTCATTGTTTATAAAAAACTATTATGTGGCTATACATGCATAAATATCTTTTTAAGTCAAATAAATGACTCACTTGTGTATCACTTTGCAGAAAGAGCGCGATCTGGAGTTAGCAGCGCGGATCGGCCAGTCCCTCCTGAAGCAGAACCAAGAACTGACCACACGTAATGAAATGCTGGACGAGCAGCTTGAAATTGCAAAAGAAGAGGTGTGACTAAACTTCATGACGCACACTTGTGCAATCACAATTAAATACATAATCAATGTTATATCAGAGCTTTATTGATCTTAGATTACTGTATTTTCTAGATTGCTCAACTTCGTCATGAGCTCACGATGCGAGACGACCTTCTTCAGTTCTACGCCAGCACTGAGGAGATGGAGAACGCCGAAGCACACTCACTGTGAGTTCACTCACATGCAAACTCATGTTTTGATGGAACAGTAGCTCAGTCTGTAGGGACTTTGGTTGGGAACCGAAGGGTTGCCGGTTCAAGTCCCGGTGTGGACCAAGTCTGGAAATTGGTGTAGTAACTGTAGAAGTGCCAGATCACTGCCAAGCTGCCCCTGAGCATGGCTGATCCCCAGCACCCCGTGCACACTTTGTCCACATGTTTGGAGTCAGTCTCTGGGTTGTTCTGCTGGACGGGTATGTGTGTTTTTTTAACAGTGAAAGTCGACATCTGTAACGACTCAACTTCATAATAAACTGGTAGAAAAAGTGTTGCCTCCACATTCAGCTCATCCCAGAGAAGTGAGCCCTGTCTGGGTGCTGTGAAGAAGGAGATGCTGCTTGCTCAAATCCACAATCGGATGCAACACAAAACAAACTTCACAGAGAAGAACAGTGGGGATGTTTGTTCTTGAATATCATAACTAAAATAAATGTGGTTAATTAGACATTGACACTGTGTAGTTAATGGTCAAAAGTGATGTGCAATGCATGGAAATAATAGCAGTCCACAGTAATCCATCCTATGTGAATTCCCCCTGTGTTTCTTGACTAAATGGGAAATAAGGGAAGGTATCTTATGCAGACATTCTTTTTCTTTTTGTCTAGAATGAAAAGGAATAGCTCATGCACTTCTCTCAGCAACTTCGTCCACTACGACTTCCTTCAGCAGAAACTGAAGGATTTAGAGGACGAAAACCGCAAACTGCGAGTAGAGGTAAGAGACAGAGGAAACTGACTGAATATGTAAACAACTTCAGAATGCAACATTTCTTAATAAATGTGGTACCAGAGGAGGATCACATTAAGTACGACTGAATGTTTATCCCAGCTATGATTAAGTCGCTGACATTTTCTGTGCAGGCCAACGATCTCACGACAGAAACAACAAACTACGAGGAGCAAGAGCAGGAGCTGATGATGGTGTGTGTGGATGAGCTCAGTAAGTGCCACACTCTTGTCTCTAATATTAAATATAAAAAGAATCCTCTTGTCGGTCAGTTGCAGGTGTATTTATTGGACTTGTGTGTTTCAGCGTCTCTTAATAAGCAGGTGGTCGACCTGTCTGAGGAGCTGGCACGGAAAGTAGAGGACTCTCTCCGACAACAGGAAGAGATCAGCTCACTGCTCGCTCAGATTGTTGACCTGCAGGCTCGATGCAAAGGGGTGAGAGACAAACACAGACACACTGTTCATTTCTTTTTAAGAAGCTTTCAAGGAGCTCAAATAAAAAAATAGTCAGTAACTTTATGATGAGTTATATAAAAGATCATATAAACTCAGGGTTAGTGTTGTAGGCAAGACCACAGTAACCAAGCAAGACCTTGGCAAGACCAAGACAGAGACCAGAGCACTACAAGACCGAGACAAGACCGAGACATTTAGACCAAGACCATAAATATCAGTGAAAAATCATCACCTTGTGTTTTAGGGGGCGTGTCACTCACATAGACTGTATCACCGGGAAGGCTGCAGACATAACCTGGGGATTCAAATGAAACTACAATTGAACTGAATTCATTTGTTCTTTCAGAAAGGGATGGTTTTTCTTCTAATCACAGTAATGATGGACAAATAGCCTTTCAGTGATGGTCTTGATTTGAAATCCAGAGTCTGCCCAGTCTGAGACTCTGAGACCGAGTAAATAGGCTTTCAAATCCTACAACACTACTCAGGGTCTCTACAAGTGAATGTGAAATAATAGAAAAACTCTCACAACTATTCTCTCTCTCCCTCCAGGTCACAAACGAGAATGAAGAGCTCAACCAGAACCTGAGTGCTTCCCGTGAAAGTCAACAAAAACTGAAATCAGAGGTAAGACGCTTACAATCAGTTGAAAAAGGATCCTGACATGTTCTTTTAACTCTTGTGTATTCGTGTACCTAAATCAATCGTGTTTTAAAGTGTTCAAACTTCTTTTGGTATATGTTAAAAGATTTACTAAATCATTTTTGAGTAGGTCAAGGACTGAAGATAATTAGAAAGAGGCGATTGGACTTTATAAAACTTTTATATGTACATAATTTACTCTGGAAGCCTTCACACAGTTACCCAGAAACCCCTTCTTTGTGTCTCTCACAGATTTGTTAGTTTGTATCTCTGCAGGAGAAGGCCTTACTTTTTCATAATTACCTACATGTTTTTATTTTCAACATGAGTTACACAAACTAGTATACACTTATTTATTTCTTCCTCATGTCTTCTTCTCTATTCCTTACCCATATTTTATCAGTTAACCAGCTACAATAACCTTCCCTCCTCTCTATACCTATTTTTCATACAATCTCTTCAGCAGAATTCAGTTTGTGCTTTCTTTCAGTTCCACTGTTTGTCTTGAACTGCAGTTTGACAGAAATGTCTCCCTCTTTCTGCAGCTCAAGGACCTGCAGGACAAGTACTCCGAGTGTGAGGACATGCTGCGTGAGGCCCGAGAGGACATTAAAAACTTGAGGAATAAAAGCCTTCCCAACAGTACGGTGCAGCGGTACACTGCGCTGGCCTCCGTCCTCCCAATGGACTCGCTGGCTGCAGAGATAGAGGGCACCTTCCGTAAAGGCCTGGACAACCCGGCTCCCTCAGAGTACAAGTGAGTCTGTGCTTTGGCTTTGCTAATTGTCTTTTATCATTCTATTTCTAGTTGAATATGATTAAGGACTTTTACTTTGTGTGAGCCATCCAGGATTATTTGATGCTTAAAGCCCAGGTTGATCTTCCCTCCTACCTACAACTATGACACAATCTTTCAGAGTCTCATTAATCCAACAGATATAAAATATTTTGTTTATACAAAGAACACAGATGGACAGCAAAAAATCTGTTGTGCTGTTTCGCTTGTGTCGACGTTTGAGGGGGTTATTTTTTTTTAAAGTTATTTAGGCCTTTTGCTTTCAATAGATAGGACAGAGAGAGAGTGGGCGATGACATCCAGCAAAGGGCCGATGTCGGATTCTAACCCACGGCTGCTGCGTTGAGGACTATAGCCTCTGTACATGGGGCACGTGACACAACAGCCAGGCTAGCCCGCACCCCATGTACAAAGTGTTTTTATATTTTGCTGCAGTTACATCTGTTAGTAATCTGTTTTTGATAGCATCAATCCAAGCCCACTACAGATACCATTCCTTGTAACATGGTGGAAGAACGCTTCACTGAACTTTGGTTCACTTAAACCAAAATACTCTGTGAGAATAACAAGGAAATAGAAGGTTAAATATAAACTGCAGATCTTCACTGTGCAAACAAAGGTGTGTTATGATAATGATTTGTGAGATAAAACATTTTTTTAAAGGCAGAAAATAAAAGTACTTGCTGAGATTACTCATGCCATGTTTCCTCCCACAGGAACCACCCGTGGCGTGTGTTTGAAACAGTAAAGGTAGTGAACAAGGCTGTGAGGTTGCGGTCTCAGTGCCCCTCCCCGGGTCTGCCAGGATCCAACCCTTTATCCACTCGCTCCAGCTGTGCCAGCACCCCCCGAACCAGCTACTACGGTTCAGATAATATCAGCATCACTCTGGAGGACAAGCCCAGCTCCAACAGTACTCACAAAGAAGACAACAGGTGAGTTTCAGTGTGTTTATGCAGCAATGTTATATTTAAAAAAAAAAACTTGATTAGAAGCTATAATTACTTTCTTTAGATGTTTAAACATCTTTTTACATGAGGTAATGATGATTAACCCCTTAAAGGTCCTTAGTTTGAAGCATTAAAAAACCTTTTGCATCTCTTCACCTCAGTATTAGTGGGCCAAAGCGTCTGGGCCAGCCAGGTACACCTGGAGGCCAAGACCTGGAAGCGGCCTTGCGAAACCTGTCAGCTCGCCAGCAGAACCACTCCTCAGAGCGGCCTTTCTTTGACGTGGAGCGGGAACGTAAACTTCATGCCTTGGTATCAAACTGCGAGGAGGGCGAATGCTCCAGCGGCTTCCTGACCCCAAACGACAGCCTGGTCTCCAGCCCAGCAGCATCGACGGGCACCAACTACTCCAACGGAAGCTCACGGCACTCCTGTGGCTCCTCAGGAGGATCCAGATCCTACCTGCCAGACCGCCTGCAGATTGTCAAACCTCTGGAAGGTAAAAGCTTCAGCTTGATTCTGTTTGTTTTACATTTTTAGAGATTATCCAAATGTATGTGTAGTCATGAAGGATTTTAAGATATGTTTATATCAGTCCAAACAAAGCAGATGGTCCATTTTATTATCAAAATAAGTCCTTGACACAAATGAAATACTAAATCAAAGTAGCGGGGCTTATTTCAAGATTACCAAAGCATTTTGTTTTTATGTTTCAACATACTATGATACCAGCAATCAGTTGGTAGCAATCATGCTTCAAGAAATGATGCAATGTGCCAAACATGGTAGAGAAGAAAAGGACTGCAAACAAGGAAACATGAACCAAGAAAGTTTAAAATATATAATACGAAACAAGAAAAACTTTTAACATCTTAACACACCACAAGTGCAGCTGTGGATCAGTGGTCAGTCATCTCAACTGGAAGGTCAGATGATGACCTCCAGCTCCTGCAGCCACATGTCGACGTGTCCTTGGGCAAGACACTTAACCTCAAGCTGCTCCCCCTGCTGCCTCAGTGGAGTGTGAATGTGTATGAATGGGATTAGTTTGGGATTAGTTACTTCTGATGGTCACTTTACATCGTAATCACTGCCATCAGTGTGTCTGATTCTAAATATTAGAGGTTACCACGTTAATTGGTTTCTCACAGGACATTTTGTCAATGATTCTCATTTTACACAATTTGGCTTTAATAATAATAATAATAATAATAATAATACATTTTATTTGTATAGCACCTTTCATACAAGTATCGCAGCTCAAAGTGCTTTACAGCAGAACAAGACATAAAAAGAGCGTCACATAATAAAATAACACGAAATGAATTAAAAATGGCATTCAAAATTTGAAATTTGTTTAAAAAGGCATAAAATAGTATGAAATAGCAGTGAAACATAACCCTGCCTGTTCAAAATCAAAATATGCCCTCCTACAGTATATGTTGACTATTATACTAAACCTCACTAAAATGCTAAGGTGAAGAAGTACGTTTTAGGCTTACTTTTAAAAATATTTAGTGAGCTTAGCTTTAGTGGCTCAAGCGTTCACACAGAGACATACAGCCCTGCTCTGTACTCAGCCTGCTGTGCTGAGCCTGCTAACAATGGATAATAGACATGATATGGTTTACCTGGGATGAATTATATGTGAATAAAGATTGAAGTTAGCCTTACAAATTGAAGCTTTTTTTTGGTTAATTATGAGCACCAAGGGATGCGGTATAGCTTAGTCAGACGCCCCATGTTCAGCTCCCGGTCCTGACTGTTGAGTGCACGTCTCTCTCTCTCTCCACACGTCCTGTCTCTCTGGAGCTGTCCTAGAAAATAAAGACAAAAAAACACCAAAAACAATTAAAATAGGATTATGAGCACCATCAGGTTGTAGATTAACCTGTGAAATTATCAGTGCATGAGATAGAACTCAACGGAGACTTTATTTGTGTCGCACACAGGCGTGGTCATTAGAATGGTGTTAGTTTTACAGTGTAAACCTTACTGTACACACTGTATTACAACCTTCTCAATCTGCCACTCCCTCTGACTCTCTCATGGTCAGGCTCGGTGACTCTGCATCATTGGCAGCAGCTGGCCAAACCGAACCTTGGAGGCATCCTGCATCCACGCCCGGGCGTCCTGACTAAAGACTTCAGGGAGCTGGAGGTGGACTTGCAGCACATCTACAGTCTGAACGACCTGGAGGAGGACGAGCCTGACCTGTCGCAGATGTCTGGCGCTCACGGCATGGGTACGATGCATGTTAATACACATCTCCACCAGCTTTGTAACTCCTGCTCTCTCGTCCATGTTTCCTGCTTAGTCTCCTTTCTAGTTCTCTCTTGTAGATTCTCATTCAATGTAAGTTTCTTCATGTGTAGTTTGTTGTGCCTTCTCTCCCTCCATGACCTCGCAGTCTCTCCATCCGGTCCAAACCTCCCTCAGACCTCTCCCACACATACCATAACCACCTGCCAAGTCCTCCAACCCTCCATCCTCATCCCCTCATTCTCTACTAGGTAAGATTATACACACTGTAAGCACTCAGTCTGACTCTTTGTGTTTCTTTTGATTGAGGTTATTGTGGTTGTGTTTTTGTTTTTTACAGTCCTTGTAAAGTGAATTTTTCTCTAAGATTAAAATAGATTTAATCTAGAACTAGATTGACGACAAACCTCTGAATAAGAAACATCTGAAGAAGAGTATTCTGAGTTCAGTAACCTACATCCTGTTGGATATTCCAGATTTCCTCAGCTCAATCCTTTCGTTTTCTTTCCCCCTGCTCTTTACCTTCACAGTGACAGAAAACGTCTGTCGAGGCTTTTTCTCCAGCTTTAAAAGGAGCCTTAGGGGCAAAGTAAGGCTCATCATGAAAGCATGATATCATAGGAAGAGCGGAGTACGGCTTCAGATTTGTTTGACTAACAGCATCATGATTCAAATTTTGAACCTTTTCTGTTTAATCTGCAGTCTTAGTTTCAGGTCAGAGACTGTGATGTCTAACGACTGAAATGTGTTTATTGAATGTAACCCATTTGCTTCTGACTGACACTTTACTTTATGCTGCTGTGCTGTTACCTGTACGTGAATTCTTGGCATGTTTCATACATGATCGAGAGTCTCTTTCCTTTTCGAGGTTTTCATCTCAGCAAACCACCACATCAAGATTTTGTTACTTTCCACGCTAGCATCGTGTTTATCCATCTTACAAACACTAATGATGATGAACTAACTGGAACAGCTTTCATTATTTGTTTGTTGTTTATTGTTTGTGTTATAAGCCTGCATGGTGTGCAACAGGAGAAGCTTAGTCTGGACATTTATTGTGTTTCATTTCAGTTTTTAATTCTTGTTTTGTTTTCTGTTGGCAGCCTTCGCTCTTTCAGCATGCCACCTTGTCGGAACTGTGAGCTCGTGAGCACTGCATCGCCATCTTACCCGCAGCACTTTGGCCCGGGAGGCCAGACCACCCCCACCATCATGACCACCACCACAAACAGCACCCCATCACCACTTGGACTTGTGCAGCTGCTGCGAGAGCACGGCATCTCAGCTTCTACTCAAGTCCATCACAACCTGCGCTACAGCCAGAGCACCAAACCTTCAGGCTCATCGTCGACAGACAAAGCTGGAGGCTCACGATCATCGGGCAGAGAGGGAAGAAGAAACATTTTCAGTTGGAACTTGGTGGCAAAGCTTCAAAGTCTTGGTTTGCACAGAGTGGCAGCTTTGGGAATGAAAGGACTTCACGAAGCAGAGAGAAAGACGGACGTCGTCTGAAGGTTTGATGGGTGCTGTTCACACGTTAACTCCTCTCTCATTCACCCGAGTGACTTTGAATCATGATTCAGACGGAGCAGTCCAGGGAGCTCACAGCCACATGAAGTCCTAGAGCCATCAGTTAGGTTGTTTGTAGTGTACAGTAATATTATTTTCTATGAATGTGTGTACAGTAGTTGTGTGTGCATCTTCATCTCAGGACATCTCCTGATCACCTGATCAACACTTTATTTGACCTTAATATGATATCTACCTGCTTTTTACACAAAGAAAAAAACATCATGAAGAAAATCATATTTTTATACTTTGTTTTGTGGTTTTCATTTTACACACTACACCTGTATGACCTGTTTTTCTTTTGTCTTTCAGTTTCCAAAGTGGAACATTAGTTATGTGTGTGTATATAACAAAGCAGTCACTTAGGAAAAAAAGAAAAGACTTAATGCAGTAAGTTATTGTTATTTGAAAGCACGAATGAAACCAATGCTCTCACACTGAAGAACTTTGAAATGCACTAAAGAACACTCCGGTCTTCCTGCTCATAAGCTGCTTCATCAAGAAAGGCACGTTGTAAAAAAAACAAAAAACTGTCAAGTTAAACACTTCAGAAGTTGATTTAAAAAAATAAAAATAAAAGCAATGCAAAGACACTGACTGAAACGTTTTGATATCCTGTAGCTGTTTGCTCTGCAGTTAAATCACCTGCTTTCACATGGTACATGCTGTCATGGCTGCAGTTTGACTCTGAAGCTGTTTGAGTCATCGAACCTTGTGGATTTCATCCTGAGCCAGAACTCACCTTAAATAATCAGGTCTGCCACGCTGCATCAAAGACTGTGGATGTTATTTTTTGTTGTTGTTTTTTTCACATGTTTGTGAACTGTTCTTCTGAAAATTTTGCTGTATTCAATGTCATCAGGGATTTTGAAATCACTGGGATATCAATGAACTCAATTGTTTTGTGAATTCTCCATGACGTTATTTAAATGACAAGTAGAAGAGTGTTCATTTTTATATAGACAGCATTATTCTTCAAAATCACTGTCAAGCAATCATCCGTAGCAAAAAGGCATAGGAAACTGTAGATTAAAAAGGGAAGAAACCATGAACACAGGTTGTAATAATCTGTGTTGTGACTTGAATCAACCAAACCACACTGCACTGCTGTTTCTTCTGTGTTTGCATCAAAGCTGTACATATGTATGTGTACAATTTTTACCACCTGTGGATAAACTTTGCATTTTCATCGAATGCTGTTTCATCTCCTTTATTCCCTCATGACAGTATTGAAGTAACACTTTTGATAATTCTGCATAAAAAGGTTTATTTAAAAAGGTGCAGGGAAAATAAACATCGACTTCATGTAAAATCTGAACAGAAAGCATGGAATCCGATCTCTCAGGTCGCCGCTGCATCTCACTCTGCGTCCCGGCGTCCGAAGTCGACCCAGCCCTGGTAGTCACGATCCAGCATGCAGTCAGAGTTCATCATCTCTGTGAACAAACCATTCCTACATGAACCACACACACAGGGTTCAGTATACACATCTGAGCCTCTCTCTGGATCTCTTCCTGATATCATCTTACTAACACAAGCAGAACAAAACAACCAAGAAACAGCCATCACACCCCTACCCACAACATACCTGAGATAGCTTGCATTACTTGTTTGGTCATAATCTCACGTTCATCCTCTGATAGGTGTGCCCGTCTCTGCGTCCGTGCAGAGTGAGCGTGGGACGGCGGCTCTTGTCTGGCAGCCATGTCTATCACTTTCCCCCTCTTGGCTAGAAGCTGCTGCAGTGCATTAATGTCTTTTGCATATCCAGGTGAGGAGGCTGCACCAGACACAACAAGTGCAACCAACAGTGCAAACACCAGGACAACTTTCCCCGTCATGTCTGTGTACAAGAAGAACAAAATCAGATTTACATACACTCGAATTGACAAAGTAAGTAAAAAGGATACAGTTACCTTTAATGAGGAAATATGTGCACAATGAGATGAGAGACCAGTTCTGCTTCTGCTGCAGTGTTGACGATTCTGCACACATCGCCTCTTTTATACCAAAAGACCAGTGTAAGCTTCTACAAACACAGATAACCGTGTTCACTCATTGATTGGTGGTCGGACGCATGGGGAGGATGTGCGTCGTAGGAAACAACCCACCTTTATGTCCACAAACCCATTAACACTGATTTTCTCTTACCTGGAAAGGTGTTTTTTGCACAGCCATAATAATAAAACAAGTCAGTGTGTTTACATAAGAAATTCAATAGTCCTTTACTGGCCTGAACAGAGGCTCTGATGTCACTGAGGAGCCACTGGTTGGAAGACATTCACTGGCGTCTTTTGATCGGATCTCACTGCTTAAAATATAAGCATATTAATTATATTAAATAATAATATAATCACATACTGTATGTTGGAACAAGACGAGGCAAACATGTAGTTCTTTTTCCTTAAAGCATGTTCTTGTTTTTTTTTTTATTACTGTAAGATCCCTATTAGTTTCTGTGTTGAACAGCAGCTACTCTTCCTGGGGTCTCCATATCTTCATGGACAATATTTCATTAGTTAGATTACATGAAAACACATCCATGACATTCATACTCACAGTACAACAAAACACGACATAACCAATACAACAACAATACACAGCAAACAACTCAAACTGAAAAACTGAAATACAAACGATAGATCTACATAAATATTTTTCACTTCAATAGTTAAGAAAACAAAAAGCACCTGGCAACTAGATCACAAGCAAAAAAATCTGTACTATACTATTTCTTGAGTAAATAAAAACAATCGTAACTCTTTGTGAAAACATCCTGTAGGCCTCTTTCTTACTTTCTGAATTAGAAATCTTGGTAGTGAATTCCACAGCACCACTGCTTGATGATGAACTGTCCTTTGCATTAAATTAGTTCTACATGGAGGCTACAGAAAACGACCCTCTGGTGACTGTCGAGTATTACTGTTTTTACCTAAACACTGCATAGTCTTACTTTCACCTGCATTTAGAATGAGTAGAGATAAAAATAAATCCCTTAAACATCAAAGCAAAGTGTATTTAATGACTGATAAGAGGTGATTATTGCCCTCACCATGTTGTTGTTCGGACTTTCCAGATGACGTTCACTCTACCCTTTTAGTAAAAACACTACAGCGAGTCGTTGACATAAGCGCTGTTTACTCACAGTATAGATTTTTGAACCACTTTGCTATTGCGTTTCCAGTGGCGATTTTAGAGTCTGTTGGGGCCCCAAGCAAAACGTTCGGGGGGGCCTCTCTAAAAAAGCATTCATCATCATGATGTTAAAAAAAAAACATTTCTGACCCCAAAGGCAACTTTGTAGTGTAGTTTTGGTAGAGAAATGTAAAGGTTGGAGAAGTGTACAGATTCTGTGGTATTACTCTATATACAAACTGTCCTCAGAGGAAAATTTGGTCCCTGTAACACTGTTAGAAGATAAAATGATAGGCGAGCATTTATGGTGGGGGGCCCGCAACAGTGAAGCCGTAACTCTCCTGGTAGCTTATTTTTTAAAACTCCAAACAGTGTTCAAGGGACCTCCATAGTGCACCTTTAAGTGACCAACTTAAGTTTTAATAGGAAAATTGGAACAACATTGAATATTGTCAGATGATGCCCCATTAGGGAGGTATCCTACTGTCATTGTAAGACTTGCACATTTTGAGCCACTGCTTTGGTTCAAAGTTTGTTGGCCCTCGGGGGGCCCCCTTCTAGCCTGGGGCCCCAAGCAGATGCCTGCCTTGTCTGTTGGCAAGCAGCACCTCTGTGTGCTTCTAGTGTCCACTGACAACATGCATAGAATCTAGACAAGCAAAGGAAACATGAACGAATGCTGAAAATATATTTCCTAGCAGGCAGTGAAAGCATCATCTGTCAGCTGGATTTACTCTCAATGACTGAGGGGTTATGTGCTGCACTTTGATTTAAACTATTGAGTAGAGGAAGTGACAGCAGCACAAAAAGGAACAGAGAATGCACATACACATATCCACCTGCAAAATTACAACAAATCAAATCCCACAGCTTGTTGTGATGATACAACAACCTGTGAGACCTCAGTCATCATGTTTTATTATCCTGAGATAGAAAGAATTGACATGTTGTGCTTTCACTGGACTGGTGTGACACACACACACACACACACACACACACACACACACACACACACACACACACACGCACACACGCACACACACACACGCGCACACGCACACACACACACACACACACACACCACACACACACACACGCACACGTGCACACGCATGCACACACACACACACACACACACACACACACACACACACACACACACACGCACACACGCACACACACACACGCACACACGCACACACACACACGCGCACACACACACACACGCACACGTGCACACGCATGCACACACACACACACACACACACACACACACACACACACACCATTGAGTGAAATCTGATAAACATTGCAGACACCAGACTTCAGGTGGCATGTTCTTTTTTGACCTGTTGCCCAGGTTACATTTCACTTTATCTCTGACGTGTACTGTATCTGCTTTTTTATTTATTTTCATAGGTGTTCCTCTGTGTCCTCTCAGACACTGTAAGTTTCTTTTTTTGAAGCTGCAGGACCTGTAAGGCTGGTTTAGAGTTAGAGAAAGTTTAAAGAATACTTATTTGGTTATAGTGTCAGTATAAAAACCTCATTCATACTTCAACATCAGTCCTGATGTAGCTACTTATCTCACTGAACTGACGACTGTTTTTGAGTCCTGTACTCACAAATAGCAGCAACATTTATTTAAAAAAAAAATTGAAAATGAGGGGAGCGCCGATGGCCTGGCAGTTGTGTCGAGCACCCCATGTGCAGACATTATAGTCCTTGTCGCAGCATCTGTGGGTTCAGGTCTGACCTCTGCCCTTTGCTGCATGTCATCCTCCTCTCTCTCCTCAAAGTGTTTCGTTTCTCTCTTCAGATTTCCTTTCCAATAAAGGCTAAAGGCCCAAAACATATCTTTAAAAAAAAAACAGAAAAGGAAATGAATGATATGTTATTAACCTGACTTGCTTGATACAACTTTTAACAATGGTCTGAAAAAGTATCCACTGCCAAAGGAAGCTGGCGTCCAAAGTGTTATCTCTGACTGTCCCCCATGGGTGTGGTCCACAAAATATTTTGATGGTTTTTAGATTCTTGTGTCATTCACCTTGGATTTGATCTGATTGGAGATTAGATAAACTTCAGGTTAAAAGGTGTGGCTGTGATAGCTATTATTTCTACTCTCTGCTTCTCTGGCATTATCTTCAGCGGATCAAAAAATAAAAATTCCAACAGAGAAGAACCCTTTTGGGGGAAATCTTTTGGGGTTTTCTTCAGAGGCGGAGAGAAAAGTCAAACAGATTTAAAAAGATGTTACACACATTTTGTTGATTTAAACAAAAGGGCTAATCAGTTTATTTTTTTCAAGACAATATTTGAATCAGTTATTTAGCTCATTCAATAAACATGCCCTTTTTACACAGACAGAATTTAATATTGCACATGTGAAGGTCCTGCCCCTCTGAACTTTTTGGAAATGTGGCTCTTGTTTGAAAAAAGTAAATGAATAGGCTTGGTGAAGGTGAATGTAAAGAACGCTTTATCTAGGCTATACATCTCAATAGACTAGTTGTTTTTGTGTACTTGACTTTTGGAACAAGTGATATATATATTTGTTGATTTGTTGGTTTGATTATTTACAACACTTTGGTGCTATCACACAATATTTCCAGCAGAGCTCATCCCCCTCCATTGTTTCCAATACTCTCAGCACTGTCTGTAGCACATGTAGCGTCACAGCTGAGCAGACAGCACTTGAATTGGTAGAAAATGGAAAATATTAAATATTCTTAAAATTAAGGCTCAGAATCAGCCTTCTACTGTAGGTTCCTTTCTTTATTCAAATTGGTTCATAATCGGTACACAATATCCATGAAACAAGACGTGTTTTTCCATTTATGATCCACCATCTCCATCCATTATACTGTTTTTCCTTTGGGGGCTGGAGCCTATCCCAGCTGCCATTGAGCGAGAGGCGGGGTACACCCTGGACTGTTCGCCAGTCAATCACAGGGCAGACAACCAGCCCCACTCACATTCACACCTACGGGCAATTTACAGTCCCCAATTGTGCTAACAGGCATGTCTTTGGACTGTGAAGCGAAGTCGGATTAACA